CTGTCGCCTGTTAGTAGATATTTCACTTAGCTTACCATGACTTAGGTACGACTTTTTACAGTTTTCTTTCTGGGTGGTCCTTGGGTTTCCCAAGTTGATCAATAGTCCTCCAATTACAATTCCCCTATCTGAACATATATTTATGATCCGAGTATATGAATATTTCGCGTCAGAAGGAGTTGTTACGTACCATTCACAAAAGCAATCAAGTTTTGGTGGCATCACACTATCTACAAAACGCTAAACAACGTACGTTAATATTTATTTCCGATACATGCTGTTCTACTGTTCCTATATCGGCTGTTCTTTTCACGTAACTTACTGATTCGCGTATTCAAAATCGTTTTAATATAACTTACTCAAATCCTCTGTACCTTGTAAGGGTGAAGCCTCAGTGTCTTACACACGACTTTCCATACCGTTGATTACAAGAGTCCAGTGTGCTGCATTCCTCATGGATATTTCCTTTATCAATAAAACTCACTAGTAACAACCGTTTTCTTGACTTCCATCACAACTTTAGTTGATATGGTAGAGCGATTATTAAGAGTTAAATTGCAAGCCGATCTTTGTAATTCACGTTTATTTATTTTTATTGGGAATTCATAAAATATTTTTACGCAAACAGCGAAACATCTGCAGTTTGCAAATATTACATATCTTACTCTTCTACATTGTGTGTTTCATACTCGCAAAAGTTCGAATTAGGAACAGGTTAACTCCAGTTGAGACCATGTTACAAAATTCCGCCCGAGGTCAAGGAATTTATCTACTGTATCTTGGAATAGATTACAAAAAAATGTTTCTTAAACTTTAGTGTGTTCCACATTTCTTTAAACTATTAACTATTCATACATCAGGTTGCTTCAGGGTCCAAAATTTTGTTACTTACAGTTTCTAATAAAACACGAGTCGTACAAAAATTTAAACAAAATATTATCAGTATTGCAATTAATCCCGATCTCTCGATGCAACGTGATCTTCAGAGTTCCACGATTTAAGATCACGCTAAAACAAGATCGCATTATAGACTATTTGACCACAAAAAAATTATCACTTGTTTCACGTGCTAACGCGGTAGTCATATTTTGAGTAGTTATGTGGTATCCGTCTACTTTTGGATTAGTGACTTTGATGTGATTAATATGCTAAACTACTATAACTTACATGAATTAATTTTAAATCGTACTGTTAAACCGCTAATTTCAAGTTATTTATTAATTTTTCGTCTACATTACAATCTTCATTACGCGGTGGTTACACGAAATTCTCGTGTATCGCACTTCTACTTTTTAACTGAGTTTTGGATATAAATGTGTTAAATGTTTCATATTTTTACTGAAATAACAGTTAACAAATGTTAATAGTGAAGTTAATTGAGACTTCACGCATTCAACGAAAGTGTGAATCAAACATTAGCAAAATACGTTGCTTGTTTGTTTTGAATTTCGTGCAAAACTACATGAGGGCTACCTGTGCTAGTCGTCCCTAACTTAGCAGTGTAAGACTAAAGAGAAGGCAACTAGTCATCACCACCCACCGCCAACTCTTGAGCTACTCTATTACCAACGAATAGTGGGATTAACCGTCACATTATAACGTCCCCACGGCTGAAAAGGCGAGCATGTTTGGTGGGACGGAGATTCGATCCTGCAACCTTCAGATTGCGAGTAGAGCGCCCTAACTACCTGACCATGCCGGTCAAGAACGTTGCTGTGTCGTGGCGTAGAAATGAACAGATTGCGAGACTTGGCCAGGGCCAATAAGTCCTATTACGATAGTCCTATTCATAAAACTCATTTGTCACCAGATGCGTGAAAAAAAAGGATCTTCGACCTTATCGTGTTATAACGAGGATCGTGCTGAAACGAGTTGTATTAAGTCAGCAATGTATTTTATATAGGAAAATAAGGCATTTCACGCAACTCAATTTGGTCAGTTCTATACGCAGTGTTATGACAATCAGAAATACAAAATTACACAACTTGTGTGTCCTATCGATATATAAACAACTCGGTAATTGTGTTAATGATAGGTTCCTACACTTCTATAGTTTTTCTTTCTAAAAATACTTAATATTGTTTGTTTTTAATTTCACACACCTGTCTGTCCCTATGGTTTCTGTGATAGACAGTTAGTCAAGCCTTGAGTTACTCTTTTACAAAGGAATAATAGGACTTATCGCCACTTTATAATGCCCCCACGGCTAAAAGGAAGAGAGGGAGCATGTTCGGTATCTGGATTGGTACCCGCGATCCTCAAATTGCGAGTCGGTTGCCCTTACCATCAGGACGTGACAAGCACTACAATTATGTAACTAAAGCCACAAGTTTATTTGTTTTGTAATATCCAATCTTCTCATTGCAATTTTTTCAATTGCAGAAACAGTTACCACATGGCGTATTGTAATATATTTGAATTAAACTGTTCACTTCATATGATAGTTTATTTTCAATACATTTGAAAAAATCGGTACCTTAAAATATTGTTACTAGCAGTCTTTGTATTTTAACGAACTTAAAGTTTTAAGAATATAATAAAAATAACCACAATTCTACATACTGTGTTGTTTACTTTTACATAAAGCCCCCGATCTTTCCTAGTAAACACTAATAATACATTTCAAATAATAACAAAACATGTGTGCAACTTCCTGTGTAAACACCCATTTTTCCACAATGTGTTAGTCTGTTGTATTTCACTCAAATGGTACTCAATGCCGTCCCTAGTTTGAAGCGATAGACTAGAGGGAAGACAGATAGTCAACACCACCCACTGCAAACCTTGTCAGACCAAACAGTGGGATTTTACTGTAACTCTTATAATGTATCCACAACCCAAAAGCGCCAAGCACAATTTTTAATTTTTCTTTGCGGTAACGGGATGTGGACGTCAAATCCACAGTCTGGCACGTTAACAATTTGTCTGTGCTCATCCCTTCGTTTTGTGCACAAACACTTAAATTTCACATAAATAACAACAGCAATGGTGTATTCAACTTTGAAGACAACATTCTGTGGATTGGCCAGAGCAATAGTATCATGGAAAACAAATTGTGTCTGTCTGTACAGTTATATATCATTTTCAGTAAAAACAGATATTCATTTAATCCAACAACCAAAAATATATGAAAAACACTAGGTTACAAAATGTTCAATACGTCTAATGAAACTACAGTACATAACATAAAAACACATAACATACATTTCTTGTGTGCACTGTGATTCAACAAATAATTTCATTATTAATAACACAGAAACAGGTATGATGTAATCAAAACAGGTTTCTATGAAACAGAAATACAGAGAGCACGTCAAGTTCAAGGTACATAAAACCGTTTTTCAAACTTCTAAAATTAATTCTATGTTAGAAATAGTCTTCAGTTTCATTTCACGAGTATTAGGTTCATAAATACTTGTGTCTGATATTGATTAATCATAGAAAAAATCTTTAGTCTGTTCAATATTAAACTCATTAGATCTATCTGTCAGTAGCTTGTTCTATGTACTTCTCAAATAACGTC